TAGGTGGAATTCACGCCGATTTCATGTCGGTACTGGTTGAACTAGGTTCAACCGACCGGCGTGACAACGGTATATTGATTGGGTCCAATAGAATAGACCATGCATACCCTAGTCTAGGGTTGGGTAACGATCCAGTTTACATCGAACCGAATCGATTGGATCAAAGATATTTTGAGTTGGTTTCAGTCCAATGAATATTTCAAGTATGAAGAAACGAACGTAAGTTCAATTTGGAATAGACTGAATCAAACCAAATGAATCAAAAATACTTTTGATCCGGTTCTGATCCTCACTTTTTTTTGGGTCTAATTCTAAGTCAATTCGATTCGATTTTGAACCGAATCTACTGATAAACACCCCTACCCTAGCTAGTCCACACTAGGAATACTGTATTTGCTAGTTAGGAGACCTTTTTTATTATTTACTTTGGGAGTTGGCATGCTAATTTGGACAGTTTAAGCTAAACTATGTGTTGGATGTAAATACAAATATGACAAGTACATATTGCATATGTTTCATTTAAGACCTTCCGACCAAGTTCATTAAGCCAATCTTTCGAGGTTCAATGAGAGTCCAAGATCACAAGCCCTAACCTACATAAAAACTCTTGTGCCTTCTAAGTATAGAACACGCTCGTTCTTCTCTTTGTGCTACAGTCTGCCTTCTCTGAAAAATCTTCCCCAAATTTTCATACAGTCAAAGGCAGTGGCGGATACAGAAATTTTTTATAGGGGTGTCCTCTTTAAAAAAATAAATAATAAATAATTAAATTAAATAATTCATAATAAAAACATGACTAGTACTAATTTTAACAAAAAGCCAGACGTGTTTTCATATTCTGAAAAATAATATAAAATATGCTCGACGTCATTACTGCTCAACAAATCTATATATCATACTAGACAATAATTCACGAATTGATCGCATATTGTATTTCTAACCTTGTTCTTTATGTAACTCAAAGTTGAAAGACTCTTTTAACTCTTGCCGTGTAACTACAAAATCAATTCAAATTAAGGATAGCCCGTAATTAGTTAGTTGTTAGGTTTTGAAAATAGTTGGGGATAAGGAATACTGTTTTTACTATTTCATAGTGTTTAAATAGAACAAGAAATGAGTTGCAAACTAGAGAATATGTTTAATAATAGTAGTGTTCTAGGTTTGAATAACACAAACTGCCATTTCTATTTTTTTTAAATGTTACACAAACTACTATCGAGAGTAGTATAATCATTTTTTTTTTCCAAATTTTAAGGGTGTTCCGGATAACCAATTATAATTTTTTTCCATACGAAACTACAACCAGGGGTTGGATAATCGTTCTTCCAAATTTTAGGGGTGTCCCAATGTCCATGTATCCGCCACTGGTCAAAGGTATCATACAAGAGAAGGATAAAATATCTCGGATACCACTAAAGTATGAGAAATGGGGATCTATACTACTTAAATAAGAATAGCGCATCGCGTGCCACTGAATTTTATTATATCATATATGCACCCGGTACCACTTAAGATTACTGTCAAGTGCATTCCGTTAAAGTTGACAGAAAATTTTTGGAATATTCCATTTTCTAAATTTCAGAATTGGTCCCTCTACTTTTTGTGATTGTTAAAAATACTTTTGCCTTATGAAAAATATCATTTTTAATTGTTTAGTTAGAATAATCTTTTAAAACTCTGTTTTATACCAAACCAATTTTTGAATAAGAAATTTAGAATCAATTCTCATTATAAGTATTTTCAATTATCATTATGTGTTCTAATTGAATTATTCCTTTAAGAAAATATATCCAATAAATTTTGTCTCGATATAAATAATCTGATAATATTATATTTAGTTCTCTTATATCATGTCGATCTTGTATAATTTTCTATATTAAATCTCCTTGTAATTCTCTAATATTATGTAGATGTTTCATATTATTTAAATTTACTAATTGTAATTCTCTTGCTATAGTCATATTTTATTTTCTAGATTTATTACGGAATGTTATAGTTTTTATAGTTTACATAGATCTTCTTTGGTCATGATGTATTGATGGTCGATTAAGTTCTATTTTAACTATTTTTAGTGGTGCTTCCTAATTATATTAGTAGTTTGAAATAGATCTGATAATATTGATTTTATATATTTATTAAAATCTTCTAGTATATTTATTATTCATTCTTGATATTCATTTATTATTTTTATTAATTTATCTATTTTATTGAAAAATTCATTAGTCATTCTAGGAATACTATGTTTAGAAGGTTTTCTAATTTTTATATTAGATAATACTTGTTAAATTATAATTTTGGATGTTTTAAAAAGTTTTGAATACCAAAAGGTAATTAAAATTTTAGGTTGGATGGAAAACTAGGCGGATGCACCTTTAGGCGACTTTAATGGTTCCCGGTGTCCTATTCAAAGTTAAGTGGTATGACTACCCCAATTCTCAAACTTAAGTGGTACCCGAGGTATTTTACCCTAAAAGAGAACCTTAAATAAGAATCCAACTCGATTATTGTTCTAAATCCGATCTAATCTACTTGACTTAAACGTTATCTAACGAGGACAAATCAAATAAGTGTTATGCTAATAAATCCAAAATTCAATTATAAAATTTTCAAAACCTTAAAATTTAATGACAATTTATGTAATGCATCCTTGAGACGGTTCATACACTTGGTCCAAATACCACAATTGGGAAACATAAAGGGACTAATGGCCAACACCTGACCTTTTCAATTAACTACAGTAGCGTTTTTTCTACTGGGCAACGGGGAGAAACCCGCCCATAATTTACAAGAAACGAGTATTCATCATTTTCTCATAGCTTATCCATCTGTGTCATTCTGTTTTATTAAACAAAAACGAAAGAACAAGTGAACACATTTATTTGTATTTATTTCTTAATTTTCATTGTCTCAACAAATAACAGAAAACAAAATGACCAGTGAACATAACATAAAGTTTTGTTTACTATTTACAGCTTTTCTACCATACCAAAACTGAGGTTTGCCAAGGCGTTGATGATCTCTATTCACTAATCTACGTAGCCTGGTGGTTGAGAAAAGCTTGAGAATGAAGTGAAAAGGTAAACTCACAAATCGTGAACTACCACTTAAACGTAGGAGAAAACATCATAATAAGGAATCATATCAAATTCAGGAGGAAAGTTAAAGTTTGGAGACAAATTTCAAGCAATGAAGTAACTAGAATGTAGGTGTTTGGAACTCCTAATCTTTCTCACATGCGGCCATGCCAATGCCATCATCATTTGGTTTGGATATGATCCACCGGTTACTCTTTTGAGAATGGTCCTCCAGTTCAATCCAACGGCTTATAAAAGTGGTACAGTAAATTAAAGGCTCGGATTTGTCATGAAAATAAATAGTAGATTTTGAGACCCACTGTGATAAGATTTCGAGCTCGTAAAATCTTAGGTTGTTTTGACCAAAGTCGCGCAATCACAATCTTTTCAGGTTTTTCTGAATTTTATCTCAACAACTCGAAAAAGTAAAGGATATGGCGGAATTGGCGAGCAATCTCACACCTGGGAGAAGGCTCGAACAATATAAGGATAGAAGCTCGATCACAATCAAGGGGAATACTTGATTGATATAGAGGCAACACTCAATGCGATTGGAGTTCACCAACGACGAGAGCAAGATTCACAAGCATCACGCTCAATGAACAAAAGGTAATCAATTAATCAAAGTCTCATCCCTAAATTTGTGTTTTTTTATGAATATACAACCCTTTAATAGGTCTGGATAAATGAAATTAATGAAAACACGAAAAAGGAAAAAGAATTCTAAACAAAAAAGGAAGTTTAACTCGTCAAGGCCAAATCCCCGGTCAGAGATATAAGTTCACCTGACCGGGGGTGCCTCTGCTTGAGATCCCCGGTCACAACTCAAATTCCCCGATTGGCGAATTCTGTAATTCCGACCGACCGAGGGAGGGGAGGGGAATAGAATCACATCACACTAACTGAAAAGCAACTGGCAAGTGGGTCATTTGTGTCTAACAAAATTTAACTTTTACACACTATATACAATTTGTATATGTATAATCTGCTTGAAGAAAAATTATATTTGTATTAAACAAAAATTATATTTGTATTAAACACAAATCATATTTTTATTGAACAAAAAATATATTTCATAAGTGTGATTTGTGTATTTGTAATTTTCATAACTTGTATTCAGAATGAGCATACCACATGTTAGAAAACATATTCTTACTAAAAACAATACATATTCGTAATGATACCAAAACATATTTGTACTAAACAGAAAACATTTCCTTCATTTCCGAGAACTTGCATCCCCTACTCTCTCTCTACTGTCAGCTCTTCTTCACTCTTCAGTCCGTGGATCCCGAATAAACATCTTTTCTATCAGCTACTTTTCCGTTTACGGACTCCACAATCCACTATTACTTTTCCCCAACAGATCTTGATCATTAATTTAATGGGTCATTTTTATGGATCATGGGAGATGTGAACCATCCCAACCCCATTTTAAAAGTAAAAAATTTAATAGCTTTCTTCTTTGTATTTTCATCATTTAAGCTATAAAAATATTGGCTCTATTTGGGTGAATATCTATTTTGTTCTATAAGTACAAATTTTCATTGTAATAACTAATAAGTAATAACATCAAAGGACCTGAAATTTAGCAATACATTATTTTTAGACGGCATAACTAGTCTGAAATTATTACTTTCACTTATTTAATAAGAATATATATTGTGGTTGGGTATCAACATTATTTTTTTCTATGTTGAAAAGATATTAGGTTATTCATAAACTTGTCTCAGTAAAATTTTAATGGCAAATAGCTAGTTCATACAAGAAAAAAAGGAAAAAAAAATTGTTGTCAGTAAAATTAAATACAAAATTCGATTATATGTGACATGTGGAACAATAAAAACATCATCAGATGTTTCAAGAGCATCTCGAATTATGAATTTAGAGAAAATTTTATCGACTCGACTAAACAAAGGGAAAAAGCATTAATAGATGTGTTGATTAAATTTTTTGAAAGAGAGACTCTCGATATGGTTGAAGCTTTGGAACCTTCTATAATCACTTTTCATTGCATTTGCATAGCATTACATAAGGCTAGGGGATTTAAATCTATAATCCCACAAAATACATCATATACCTAATGTGCTCATATAAAATAAATCCATATATAAAAAATAAAAACTCAAAGTGAGAGGAGGACAAAAGCATCCAACAAATAATAATAAACCTTAATTAATTTAGGGAACAAAACGACTTTTGTTAATCCTCTTTGGTTTTGCTATCTAATGGAAATTAGAGCCTGGCGTGTAGATAGCAAGATCCGGCCATCCATTATTGCTATTCCCCCACTCTCCACCTTGCAAATACCCTCCTCCGCCGCCATCGTCGCCGCCGCCACTACCACCACCGGCGCCCCCGCCCCCGCCCCTCTCTTGCAACTCCACATCCAAACCCATTTCCCGACCCGAACCCATACTCAAACCCGAACTCAAATCCTCGCCAAACAAACCACCCACTTGCCCCGATTTCAGATCCGACCCGCTCGTGCTCAACCCGTCGAAGATTCCCCCGAATTGAGAATTGGGGGTCAAAAGCGAGCTGAAGCTCCCGCCACCAACCCCAACACCCGCGAACTTCCGCTCCTGATCCGCTTCCAGCCCGTACACCCGGGTCGGGTTCTGACCCAGTTCTGATTCCGTCGTCGGCAGCCGATATTGCTGAGTAGAAGCAGAGAAAGTATCGGCGACGGCGGCAGGTGTCGAGGAAGAGGGCGGCGGCGAGGGAGGTGCCTCGGAAACCCGGCGGGTGACCCGTGGAGAATCCGGTGTCGGATCCGGGTTGGCACGCTTCGGATTGGAAGATCGTTTGCCGGAGCTGCTGCTCTTCCGGGTGCCGCCGCCGACGGGGATATTTCGCAGAGCGCCGCCTTTGGTCCAGTATCGGCGGCAATCCTTGCAGAAGTACCGGGGCTGGGAGAGGTTGTAGTTGTTGTAGTAACAGAATTTGGTGTTGGCAGAGTCGCAGCGCGGGCACTTCAGCAGCTCTTGCTCCGGGAACGGTGCCGGCGGCCTGATCGCCGGGAAGTCCACCGACGACGGATCTTGCATTTCTTTGTACCCCCAGTAAAATTTCTCCGGCAAAAAGCAAAGAGGAATTGTGGGTTTCGCGAGGAATTTGGTAACTTTCAGGGAATGGATAAGCAGGGGGGAAGATCTGAGGCAGGGAAGACAGAGTGTTGATCTTCAAGCTGTGAAACAGAGTAATTTTGGAAGCTGAGAGAGTGAAAGATCCGGCTAAGAGAGAAGGAAAGGAAGAAGACCCGCAGGAAGGTTTGGGTTCATCATCAGACGGCAACAAGGGAAGAAAGAATGGATTTTGTGGAGGAGAGAGAGATAAATGGGGGAAGGAAGAAAGGAAGGGGAAAATGTAGAAGGACGGTCGTGGAATCGTGCTTTTTTTACGCGTGAGAGTGACAACTGAAAGAGAGATAGGAAAGGAAGATTGATTTCAACTACAGAGAAAGTAGTGAAAGGAATAGAGAATAATTTTTGGCCATCTGCTGGCATAAAGAAAAAGCTTTGATATAAAAGGATGTTTTCCCAAAATAAAAAAAGTGATTTAGGGTAGAAAGTGATTTAGCAGTGGAAGTTGTGATTGTTAAATAAATGTATTGTTGTCAATATATGTATATTATTATTATACTTGTAATGTTGAATTTGATGTATCGTGAAATACAATGTTTGGTATTTGTGATTGTGTATATCATATTAGCTAAAAATTGAGACAAAATAATTTCAACTCAACAATTGAAACCAAAAGTTGAGTTATAATAATCACTCATTCTGAGTGATTGTGTTTATCATATCACATAAACAATCCATGTATAGTAAGAATCTCACTAAAACAATCACAACTTCCAAACGACCCCTTAAAAAAATTCTCACAATACAACCCTTGTAATAAAAAATTTCAAAATATAAAAATTGTCGGGTTTGCTTCACAAATTAACGAACAAGTAGTTGGTTCACGGTTGAGAGCAGCGATCAAGGTTCTTTGATGCAATAAGGAGTGAATTATATAGTAGTTCGCAACAGAGAGCAACGAACAAGGTTATTCGTTGCAGTGAAGAGGGAACTATGCACTAGTTTGTGGGTTGAGCATCAATTTTTGTATATCGCCTCAATTTTCGTATACAACACTTGTATATCGCCTTAATTGACGGGCCTACAATATACGTCTGACGTACGCTAGCCTTAACTATCTATCTATCTATCTATATATATATATATAGATAGATAGATAGTTAAGGCTAGTATATATAGCGTCCTTTTGAGTATACTATACTCTAGGTAATTCTGGTGAGATAACTCTGTCTTGACGAAGAATTAAATATATTTTGGGTGAGATACTATACCATAACCTCTAATAGATAAACTCTAGACCAGAATTCTCTAAACCCCAACCCGAAGTTTAGTTTAATAGAAAATAATAGTTGACTGTTGACATTGGTTGGAGCTCATCGAAGTGCATCTAAAGACCAGATCACCTAGAGTATATTGAATTAGCAGGAGTTTGAGGCATGATACTATTCCTTAACTTCTAATGGGTGAACCCCAATACCCAACCATAAGATTCATTTAATTTCAAAATGAAATCAACAGTTATGATTCGTCGGCATTATCAAAGTACAAATAATAGTTGTGAACGCAGACATACAGCTTAAGTCAGCCGTACGCTAGCCTTTGTCATATATATAAATATATAGTTCAAGCGTACACGTATCTTACCATACACTCGCCGAGTTTTGTTATTTAGACCATGAATTAACCGGAGTTTGGGGCATTATATTATACCCTAACCTAAAACGGGTGGACCCTAGTTCTCAATTCTATGACCCAAACCATATGATTAATTCAATCTTAAAATGAAATTAACATTTCTAATTCATCGAAATTATCAAAGTCCAAATAATAAGTGTGAACGCATGCGTATAACGTACGTTAGGCATACACTATATATAAATATAAGCTTCTCTTAATACATCGAATTACAGGCATGTATCAATAACATTAATCCGGGGATGGGATACCGTCACTTCCCTTTAAGAGGGATGTGAGATTCACTTCCCCCTTTCTAACCATTGGATGCGTTCTCTCTCCCGTCTCTCCTATATTTTTAAAATTGATGGTGAGGATTAAACAGGGAGTATTTTAGGATGAAAAAAACTACCACATAATTACCTTTTTTTTTATTTTCTATATAATCTCTCTTTATTAACAAAAAAAACCCCACTTTTCCTTCCTCTCATGTTCTCTCCCTCTCTCTCTCCTCCAACCCAAAACCCTAGTTGTCGCCGTCTCCCACCGTCTCTTCCATGCCACCACCATCGTCTCCACCGTCGTCTCCACCTCTCGCTTCCTCCAACAGTGATGACACCTACGTAGCCACCCTGCAACCCTCTGCTTCCCTCCAACCCTCACCGCGCCCTCCACAATCCCGCGACCCATTGCATCCCTCCACCCTCTGTCGTTGCTATCTCTCTCCCGCCGTCCTCATCCACTGCCGCCACGAGGTAACGGCCTCTCCTCTACCTTCTCCTTTCCTCATCCCTTGTTTTTTCCCCCTAGATATGAAATTTTTCAAATTCTAGATATGGTGTTTTTTATGTTAGTTTCTAGTGGTATTGATTTTTTAACTGGTAGCGTTCTAGTGGTAGTGATAGCGATACTAGTGGTAGTGGTAGCGTACCACTAGATGAAATCGATACCACTAGCGCACTGACGAAGTGGGTTTTTTTGCAGATGACCGGAACGAGTCTGATTGAAGGATTTCACCAGAAAAAAGTCTGTCGATCGGAGAAAGTTTGGCAGTCGGAGCGAAAAGGTTGCTGGAAAACAAAGAGAGAGATTAAGAGAGATATAATAAGTGTATGAATTGTAGGATTTAAATTTAAAAAAAGCATGTATTTAACATTGATTTTTAATTTCCAATCTATAATTAATACTTAAAAATTAATAAATAAATTCATTTTTTTGTCATACCCAAAACATTCTTGGTTGTGATTTGTGAATCTCACAACCCCATTAGGGAAAGTGACCGTATCTAGGGATGGCAGTGGGTCGGGTTGGGTCGGGTTTTGCCAAACCCAAACCCATGGGTTTATCCGTGAAAAAAAACCCGAGGTAAAACCTACTGGATTTGAAATACTCAAACCCAACCCAATCCGCTGGGTATCCGTGGGTTCATGGTACCCACGGATTTTTGTCGTAAAAAATCTACAATAACAAGTTCCTATTAAAATTAAAGTCAAATATCAATCTCTCAAATCAAATTATCGATATATAAAACACCATTCTAGAAAATTCAAGCAAATCACAAATTAACTATACAAATTGTTCAACACCAATCTAGGAAACTCAAGAAAATTGAAGCAAATCACAAATTATGCATAAATAACATGATTAATTGAAAGTTTCTTCCTTTCAATTAAGTTTATTCACTCTCCACTCGATAACATCCACTTCATTCTACACCATTTGAAAGAAAAAACTAGACATGTTTCCACAAACATAAATAAGATTAGTTGTTTAGAATATTAAATATACCGAGAAAATTAACTATATGGGTGTGGGCGGATACCCATGGGTCGGGTTTGTCTAAACCCAAACCTAACTCGATAAATAGTGAACGAGTTTAAACCCAAATCCAGTCCAAAATCCATCAACATAAATTTTACTCGCGTTGACCGAATTAGGTCGGATGGATACCCGTGGATTCGAGTTTTGTTGCCACCCCTAAACGTATGCGCCCATTGAAACGGGAGTACCCTACTTTGGCGACCGCAACATTTGTCCTACTATATTATCAAATTAATTTATAACGGTACATCACACAACTCCGAATAAAACCAAAGTCAAACCCTTCATAGAAAACAAGCAGGGGCAATTTAAAAAAGGCATTCGAATTTAATACACTTCCTATTTTCTAGTCGTGTCAAATCAAATTTTTGGACTGGCTAGGCTTCTTATATCTTCACTCTTTAATATATAAAATAATTCTTCAACTTTTCAGTCTTCACTCTTCACCCATTAATAGTTCCTCTTCCAGACTTCCAATTAATAAGAGCTGAAATTGGTTTGCATTAACAATAAACATATTATCTTGAGTAGTTATCATAAATGGTCACAAAACTATTCAGTTTGTACAAAACGGTCACAAATCTTTAATTTTGTACGTTTCAGTAACTAATGTTTGAACTAATAACAAAAAAGTAATTCCGTCTATCTCCATCCAAAATTCTGTTAGTTTGGTCCAGTCAGCTATCTCGTCAACATCCACATCATCAAAATAATTAATAAAAAATAAAATAAAAATCAATTTTAGCCTAACCAACCCACCACCCCAATTCAACTCAATCCATCCCTATCTCCTCTCCCTCTCCACCGGTCCGCCACCATCTCCACTGCTACGAATCTCGAATGTATGGATGTGAGTAGCTGCAAAGGAAACAAGCAGGACAAACAACCCCAATACTTTTTTTTCTCATTTTGTCAATACTTTTACTTCGCTTCTCCTTCTTCTTACTCTTATGCCTCTTCTTTCATCAATGTGTGTGGCTTCAGTTATAGAGGGAAAAAAGCCTCAATCCCGAATCCTCCCTTCCTCTTTCTCCTTCTGGTCCACCAACTTTGCCTCTCCACTTCTCCGGCCGCCGAGATCGTCAATCCCCAACCCCCAATTAGCTTTGTGAGTTCTTGTTTAGATTTTGGCCAGCTCTAGTTCAATTATTGGGAACCGGAACGCGAGCTCCTCTTCTTAAGGAGCGGATCGTCGGGGGAAAGAACAAGCTAGGTCGGAAGATCGGCACGTATCGTTCGGTGAAATATTTCACGGTCAATCTTTCCTCCTCTGCTGTCGAATTGAGCGGAATCCGTCCTGCCTCCATTTATGTTTTGTTGCGGTCCGATTCCTTGCAGAGCTGATTGTTGTTGCTCTCAAGCATTCCTTGGCCGAGTTTAGCCGAAGCTTTCCATGTATAGTGATGAGTATGGAGAATGCGGAAGCTGAGAAGACGGAGGGAGGGGAGATAGAGAAGAATGAGTTGGGTTAGATTGGATTGGGTAGTGGGTTGGTTAGGGTTTAATTGGTTTATTTTATTTTTTATTAATTATTTTGATGATGTGGATGCTGACAGGACAGCTGACTAGACTAAACTAACAGAATTTTGGATGGTGACTAACGAAATTACTTTTTTGTTATTAGTTCAAACATTTGTTACTGAAACGTGCAAAATTAAAGGTTTGTGACCGTTTTGTACCACATGAATAGTTTTGTGACCATTTATGATAATTAGCCTATTATCTTTCTACCAAAAAAAAAATAAACATATTATCTAGTATCTACCACAGTAGATAGATATAGATATTAACAAAACTGGAAACAACGGGTATCTTATCTTATCCAACCCCGTCAACGCAGATAAAACTCGTGTTGACGAGTTTTACTTCAGGCTCGAGTTTAAACTCGTTACATTGTTCATCAGGTTGGGTTCTTGTTAGGTATACCCGCCTCATGTATACCCACCCACACCCATAAAATTAATTTTCCCAATATATTTAACATTTTAAGCAATATATCTTCCTTAAACAACTAATCTTCTTTATGTTTGTGGAAACATGTCTAATTTGTTCTTCATAGTTGAGTTGAATGACGTCGATATTATGGAGTGGAAAGTGAAGAAGGTTAGTAAACAATGAGGAAGAAACTTTCAATTAATTATGTTATTTATAGATGTTTATCTTTAATGTTGAACAATTTGTATTGTTAATTTGTGGTTTGCTTGTATGTTCTAAATTTATGTTTTTTGTATGGATAATTTGCAAGAGAAAATTGATGTTAGACTTTTATTTTGATAGAAACTTGTTATTGTTCATTTTTTATCACAAAACCCATGGGTATTCATGAACCCGCGGATACCCAACATATTGAGTTGGGTTTGAGTTTTCCAAACCCAACGTGGTGTCCCCCAAATTTTTTGGTGGATATACCCATGAGTTTGGGTTTGACAAAATCCAACCCGGCCCATTGTCATCCCTAACAATATAGAGGCGGAAAAATTCATTCGACAGTTGACTTATTATTTAATAAGCGGATTTGTGATTCAGGTCATAGTAAAAGGACCAAACTTGACTTGAATTATGCTTAATTTGCGAGATTCACGAGGTAGTTAGACTTGGTAGCTTGTTGAACTTACCTCAAAAACTAGTTTATTTAGAGCTTATCAGCGAACCCAACTTTGTAGATTGTTGAGCTCAATCGGGGCTCAACTGTTTAGAAATTGTGAGCTGCATGCATGTAGCTTCCAATTTACCTTACAATGGCGTGTTAAGTGATCAGATTATATAACTCAGAACTTGATTTGAGATTTTTAATGTATTTTCTCACTAATTATTTACAAGGATAGTATATGTATTATTGATTTATTAAGTTCTATAACTATTAAACCATATGGATAATTTTTTATTATCTTTTGATACAAACTAATTAAAAAAGTAATGAACTAAATAATAGATAAATTTGTCTTATGATATAAACTAGTTCACTACTAAATAATAATAATGAGCTAAATAATATGATATGAATACAATGGACAAATATTTTTTTGGTTGATGAAAAATTAACTCATGCTCTTTTTTTTTTTTTTTTTACAAATAAAATCCTTTAATTCATCAATGTAGAGAGGCAAGAAGCCAACTCTATCTGGAACCCACGAAACTTACAGTATCACTGGTTACGGAACAACTCCACCACACTCCAAACAAAGTTAGCAACTAAAACTATATACATCATTCTACGAAATCAAAGAAGACACTAAAAGGGGACCATTTCTGAGCAGCAACAAGTGATCTTTGACTTTCTTCAGCAGCTGGTCTTCAGACAGAATTTAACGAGCATAAACCCTGCGAAATCTTTCTCGCTAAATCTCGCTAACTATTACCTGTTAGTGTTGTGGTATATGATCCACGACTGAACCTCTCCCAACAACTCGAGTTATTGGGACCAACTGGTTCTTAACATGGTATCAGAGCCTTCTCTGACCGAGAGGTCTTGTGTTCGATTCCCGGTGACCCCCATTTGTTAAGCACATAGTATTCTTGTCTTCAGACCTGTGCAAACTTCAAGCCCTTGTGAGTGGCTTTCGTTTGAGGGGGCGTGTTAGTGTTGTGGTATATGATCCACGATTGAACCTCTCCCAACAACTCGAGTTATTGGGACCAACTGGTTCTTAACATTACCATCCATAACAACCCACAACACTCAGGCTTAGCATTTCCAGACTTGAGTTTTACCATTACGATTATCAGTCCAAGAGAGGTATGTTGGGACTTTTGGGAGGATGATACACGTACGATAGTTTGAGATCGGGTGATCAGAATTGTGATAGAGTCGTGAACAATGTTCACTTTCAGAAAAGAATATTTCCGCCCTCTACAAAGCTTTGAGTTACAGGAAATTTCTCCCGAGGATAAAACTATCACCACTTTAGGTTCTAGACTCAAGAACTCTAAAACATACTTAGAAATTTTTGGAAGAAAGAAGAAGAATTTGTTTGATGGTATGTGGCATCATCCGCCCCATACATATATTTATAGGGGTCGAATCCATGCATTATTCCATGAAAGGTTGACTTTAGTCATACGAAAGGTTGCATCTATCCATATGAAATGTTGTTCTCATCCATATGAATGGTTGCTTTTATATGTACGAAAAGATGCCTCTATCCATATGAAATGTTGTCCTTATCCATATGAAGGGTTACCTTTATCCATACGAAAAGTTTTCATTATCCATATGAAAGGTTGTCTCTATCCATAAGGTTGTCCTTATGGATAAGGTCATCCTTATCTATAAAATAATGCAACCGCCACTAGATCAAAGGGATGTCCCTTCATGGAATTAGAATATTGGTTTGGTCGGTCTAATCACAAACCGGTTGGTCGGTCCAACCAAAAACCGATTTAACTTGGTTAGTCTGGTTTAATCCCTTCAGGAAATTTCCTGTAACCCAAGACTTAGTCCGGTTCACCCTCTATAAATACAGAGTACTCCGCTGGTGGTTAAATGCACCATGAATGGATTTCATTCTTCTTCTTACTACTAAACTTTTAAGTATACTTTAGTATTCTTAAGTCTAGAATCTAAAGTGGTGATAGTTTTATCCTACGAAAAAATTTCCTGTAACCCAAGGCTTTGTAGAGAGTGGAAATATTCTTTACGGAAAGTGATGTTGTTCACGATTCTATCATTATCATAGTCACCCGGTCTCGGGCTATCGTATGTGGACTCTCGTCCCAAAAGTCCCAACAAGGTAGACCTGCTATTTCCCTTAAGAGCCACAAAGTTGACATACTGTGTAAAAGACTCGTTGGGTATGAACAGTCAATGAACAAGTGATCCCTGGACTCAGCAGATGAGAAGCACAGAGTACTCAAGTTTCAAAATACATCAAAATGAATATAATTTTGAATAGTACAATTAACTTGATTTATCTGTGGAAAAAAAGTTATGACTAAAAACTAAAGAGAAATAGTCCGTTAAAATCTGTAGAGAAAAAGACTATAGACCTTCATAAATAGTGATGTGGCAGGTTATGTATGGTTAAGCCGGATATGTTCCCCTTGTATGTGGGATGATATCAAGTTTGAATATTTCCTTTTATTCATATATTTGATATTTCTCTTTTTTATTATCTCATGACTCATGTTGCTTTTACGTAGAAGTATCTGATGACAAACTATTAGACCATCTCCAATAACAAGCATTTAACGTTAAAAAAAAAAGTGTCAAAGTTCTACAATACTATATAGGTTTGGCATTTTTGTTCTTCAAAAGTGGGATTTGCTCCCTTAAGAAGTACTATAATGCCAAAGTCTCAAACTTTCTCTTTTTGTCATAATCTAGTGTAGTATGGATGCCATCATTTTAATTAGATAATTTGTTGATTATTTTATATAGATAGTAATAGTTTATTGAGACGAACGTTTTGATGTAGTATTTTTAATTCAGACATAATTTTTTATATTAAATATGACATTATCAATGACGAAATCACATAATTTGGTTAAAATAACCTTAGATTTATTATACCTTCGCAAAAATGTGTGATTCATTGATTTTCTTAGAGTAAATTACCCTGCATATCTCTGAAATTTGAGTATTCATACTAAGTAAGTTAGAACATAGCATAGGGTACCACTAAAGTCTAATAAAAGTGCATCCGTCCCATTTTCCCTCCAATCCAAACGGGACGGGATATGATGAAGGGGTTGTCAGATTCACAACCAAGGGTATTTTGGGTATGAGAAAAAGGAATATATTAATTACCTTTTTTGTATTAATTATATTGGGAATTAAAAACCCATATTAAATACAATTTTTTTCTCAAATTTAAATCCTATACATTAATATCTCTATCTATCTCTCTCTCTCTTCCTTTCTCCAGCAGCCACTCCGCATCGACCGACAAACTTTTTCTCCGGCAAATTCTCTCCGGCAGACACCCTCCGGCAACCTGAAAAAATGTACCAATGCGTTAAAAAGTGTACCAATCTATTAGTCTACTGGTAATTAATATACCAGTGCTAGTGGTACACTACCAGTACGTTAAAAATGTACCAGTAGTAGCGGTACCAGTAAAAAATGTACCAGTACTAGTGCTACCAGTAGAGAATAACACAACGCTACTAGCACTGGTAGCGCTACCACTAGCATTGGTAGCGGTACCAGTAGCGAATAACACAAAAAAAAAAAAAAACAGATGATAGTGGTACCAAATGATAGGGGAGCCACTGGTATTGGTACCAGTGAGTAGTGGTAGCGTACCAATAGCGTTACCAGTGGTATTGGTACCAGACGAAAATTAAATTAATCACCTCCATGATAGTATCAGTACCGAAATCCTTCCTCCAGTTAAGCATATCCGCCCACATCTGCTTGGCCTTTTCAATGTCGAACTTCCTCGCCTTCAAAAACCTAAGCATCATGTGGTGATCGTCGTGCCTCGCCGGAAGAAGCTCGTCGAGAATCAAAGCCTGCCGGAAAGCATCCACGGCCCTCAGCTCCTCGGCGTCGATCGACATCACCCTGCTGTTCCGGCGACCCTTCTTCGTCAGCGAGCTCCGGAACCTGTTCGACACCTTCTTCTTGAACGACCCCCCTCCTCACCCTGCCTTCTTCTTCTTCATCTCTTCCTCCGAGAGCACGTCGAGCCCCGGAGGCGCGGTGATGACAGCCGGCGCGGCGGAGGTCGGGGGTGGCGGTGGGCATGGGAGAGGAAGAGGGAGATGCGGCGGCAGCAACGTCCGCGGAAGAAAGGGAGGAAGGGAAGAAGGAGGTGGTGAACGGCTGTGAGGTTGGGCTGAGTTAGATTAGGGTTTTATTATTTTATATGGGAGAAAAAATGATTGGATGTGGTAAGTTATTTTCATCCCAAAAACACCCTTCTTTTAATCTCAACCTTCAATTTAAAAATAACAGAAGAGAGACAAGAGAGATAATACATCTAATGGCTATAAAGTGGGTTGTCAAACCCACAACCCCTTAAGGGGTTGTCACCATAACTCGTCCCAACCCAAACTTGTAATTATATTTTGGTGCTCATAACTTTATTAAAAGTCACTTTATGCATAATTAAGCTTGAGAAACCAAGAAGAATCTTATGCTTCTAAATTAAATTCGAATCTAGCCCAAAATTATAATACTGGCCACTTAGTGAATGACCTTAAAAAATCTATGAATTTAATGGAAGATATATAGTTTTAAGTAAATGATATAATATTTAAGGCAAAATGGACTTTCATAGCCACAACTTTCATGTTTGTGACAGTTATAGCCACAACTTTTGAAATACAAAAAATAATCACTTTCGTCCATTCCATAACGGTGACACTTAACAGTATGACTGGACCGACGAAAAATACTGAGTTGGCAACATTTTGTCCCCTCCAATTCACGTGGATTAACAAACACACACACACACACACACACACACACTTTCATAGCCACAACGTTCACATTTATGATAGTTATAGCTATCACAACAAACGTGAAAGTTGTAGCTATAACTGTCACAAATGTGAAAGTTGTGGCTATGAAAGTGTATTTTGCCTAAATATTTTTAAAATAAATTATGACGTGGCATCCACGTGGCAAGTGAGGATGAGTTGTTGGTGACGTTGGAGTCAATTTGGTATCCCAGTCAGCGTGTTGTTAGCCTGACTGAAACAATCTCTAACACCATTAAAGTTTGTAACATAAATGGCTAGATTTGTTAAACAACCATAAAAGTTCTGGTTATTTTGTGTATTCAAAAGTTGTGGCTATTACTATCACAAACATGAAAGTTGTGGCTATGAAAGTATATTTTGACAATATTCAATAAACTTGTTACCACTAGGTTACATGAGTTTAAACATTATTCTCATAAATCTAAGGAAGATTTCCTATATAAAGATAAATTGTTAAGACTAGTAATAGTTTAGGTGATTTCCTTAATATTGATTATGAGCATGTATATGAAAGGATAGATGAGTGAATTACAATACTTTGAATAAAATTTGGCTTAATAAAATTCAAAATGTTGAATAAAATTTGACAAGAGCGTAAAAAATTACCTTACTTTATAAAATATCTCTAAGTAGTTCCTAGATAAGAAAAGTCAAACTATAATTGGTATCAGAGCCCTTGTTAAGTAAAATTATTTGAACAATAATGTTGTTCCTAAGTTCAAAAGGACTACTTTTAAAATTTAGAGAACATAGTATTCCTAAGTATATTTAATAAACTCTAATAAAGTGCACTGAACATAGAGTTAAGTGAGACCCGATGCACAAAAGAGTGAGGGTAGTGATACACGATGAAGTTTAGTGACACACCTTCACCCATTCCTAAAATTAAATGACATCGTATGTGTTTTACCTTTTTTCTCCATAAAGTAAATATTATGATTAACAAAAACAATTATAATTAAAATGAATAAAAATTTATCGTTAGTTCATTGCCTAAGTTAATTATGTCACATTCAAATAATACAAAGGCAACCAAAATGCAACCACGTGCAATTAAAAGGACCCTCTCATTTACTTTGGACATCTTTTGGACTCGTTTGCTTGTTGGATTTGAAAATGAAGATTTTGGATTTTAAAAACCTTTGGATTTATGATTGATTTGTTGCATTATGGATTTGGAAGAGTATATTGTTTGTTTAGATAATTTTTATCATGGATTTATAATAGATTTGTCTCACAACTTTGTCTTCCATTATCAAATCCCAGATGAAATGTGAGATTTGCAAATCCGTGGGGTCCATGGATTTGGATCTAAAAAATGATCCAAATTCGTGGGCCTCACGGATTTGTGTCCCTTAGCAAACAATGTATTTGTGTCAAGTCCTTCATGCTTGGGATGTGGATGCCAAATCCATCACACAAATCCCACAAGCAAACAATACAACCATCCCCTCATTTCCTTTAGTCGTTAGCTCATCAAATTACTATCATTGATTTTAAACCCTTCCCAAATCCCATTTAACAAGTGGAACTTGCAAGTCCTTGGAATCCACGGATTTGGACCCTCAAAATCCATGATAAATGAAATTTGTTCACCAAATCTATGATCTAATCCATGAAATAAATGACACCTTTATGTCATTCTAAAGTCTTGCTAAATGTAACAATCTTAAAATAAATCAAACTCAAACTGTTGAATCAATAAAGTTGGGTTAGTAATCTAATAGAAAATAATTAAGGCTGAGGGTTCATTAGTTGCCTCTTGTGTGGTTTATTTTAGAGGCATAGCCAATTTTTTTTTACTATTTGCCACCAACTTTCCAATTATATTGCTAGGTAAATTTTATTTAAATATGACAAGAGTGGGAGAAATTTTACAATGCTATATAGTATTGGTGTTATAGGGTTTTGCCTTTATGGTACAACTTAAAATTGTACTTTACGTTATGGTACAACTTCAGATTGTACCTATACTTTTGTACAAATTCTTTTATGGTACAACTTGAACTTGTACCTTTATGTGATGGTACAACTTCAAGTTGTAAAGTTGTACCATAACATAATGGTACAAATTGCTTTATGGTACAACCTTTAAGTTGTACATTAAAGCACCAGTACTATATAGCATAGTAGAAGTGCTCCAAGAGTGGAACAAATTTCATAACTTCTATCACATATCTAACTCTTCCAACACAAAGAAATCGAAAAAATGAAGTTCCCTAGAAAAGTCATCCAAGAAGGCTATAATCGGCGTGATTTTCCTTCGTGTTTTGGCTATGGCAGACTATTTTCTTGTGAGAAAACGTGCGTTGAATTGAGATTAATTGCACCTTTGGCTTCTTCGAACAACGATTAGTAAGACACGGTTCACACCTCTTCAAACAAAGTTCGAATGAGGGTGTCTGATTGATGGTTTCCGGGAACGAAATATAAGTTAAGTTGCTCATACTCCTATGGAGGTCCAGTGAGAGCTCCAAACTAAAAGCTACGTCTATGACTACATGATAGAGAAAAGGTAAAAGATAAACTTGACATGTGTATCCAATATTTGGTTTTGGAAACCTCTGTCTCTATTGACCCCTCCTCCTATTTATAGCTATAAGGAGGCAATCGTCATAGAAAATTGTCTCCTTGATAACCTATGCAAAGAACTGCTCCATCTTCTCTTGAATGGTGGTTGCTCCTTCAACCGTCTAGGTTCCTCTCTCTCTCTCTCTCTCCCTCCCTCCCTCTCTCTCGGTGAAGTTGAAGTCATGGAAGGCAACTTGCTCTCTCTCAAGCCATGCCATGGAGTCCCGACAAACGTGGTCTAGTTCTTGCAACTAAGATTGTCTAGATCTTGCGACCAACATGGTCTAGATCTCAAAACTAAGGGTGCCTATATCTCGCGACCAATGTGATCTAGATCTCGCGACAAAAGCTGTATAGATCTCTTCACCATCGCGTTCTACATCTAGATGTCATGATGACAAAGGCTGTCTAGATTTTGTGACCAACGTGGACTAGATCTAGATCTCGAGACGAAGGTTGTCCAGATCCCGCCTAGCGACCAACGTGGTCTATTCTCACTACCAACATGGTCCAGAGCTAGATCTCACAACGAAGGCTGTCTAGATCTCACAACCAATATGGTCTAGATCTAGATCTCGCGACCAACTAGATCTAGATCTCACAGTGAAGAGTATCTAGATCTCGCATAGTGACCAATGAGGTGTAGATATAGATCTCACGACGAAGGTTTTCTAGATCTCGCCTCGCGACCAACGTGGTCTAATCTCACGACCAACGTGATCATCTCATACTTAGTCGTTTGGGCTTAAAAATCTAGTACCATGATGTCCAGTCTAAATAACATTCATTTTTACAATTGATCTGACCTTATAAACACAATAGATGCTTTGTGAATAATCAATATGGTAAAAGATTATTTTTAGGTGTAAACAAATGCCCCAAACTACTTAGTGTATAAGAATCATGAACTAAGTAGTTGAATACTTTCCAACCCTTCCATAATAATCAACACTCTACGCTACCCTCCTTGGCCAAGATTTTGGATTAAAAGAGCTGCATGACCTCTCAACTTGCTCACACATACACACACATATATATATGGTGGATTATATCGTACCTTGGGTAAAATCTAGGGTACGACATCCCTTGAGCAAGAAAACACTATCTAGACCTCGAATTAACCAAATTTTTAGGCATGATACTATACCCTAACCCTTGATGAGTGAATCCTAGGTCTTAGTTTTTCAAATCATAGAGCCTAAACACTAAGATTATGCATGCAATTTATTGCATATATTAAGACAAATCATAACCGTTAATTTTTTTGTTTCTAATTAAATTAATTTTAGTGTGTGAGATTTGTAGAATTAAGATCTACATTTATCTTTAAGGGTTTGTTAATAGTACCAGAAGCCAAACTTTGGTCAATTCAAAGTCTAGGTATCATTTTTTTTACTCAATGATTACGTCAGGTCGACAAGGCCATATGCGCTGGAATCAGCCGGGCCGACCTGGTGCATGACAACTTTTCCTAGCAGCCTATTTGAAGTTGATAGAAGAGGTCGATGTCTTTTGCCACGGGTCGAAGGAATTCGTCGGCTCGTCCGAGCAAAACAAAGTGGCATGGAATTATATGCCCTGCCCCGAAATAAAGCGTCTTTCATTACTCCTTTCAGTAGAGAAACTTTGTTCATTCGGTCTAATATACTCCCTCCTCTCCCTCATATAAGCTCGCTTGTAGAAGGAAAA